AGCATGTAATTTTCATTATAACAAGGATTTTTTAATCTGTTTTGTTCAATGACCTATTCAAGAGACAAGAAACAGTGTCTGGAATGTAGAGATTGCTTGCTAAATATTTGTTCAATGAAGAATTGAAGAACAATTCATATTAGATAATCTGCTGTAATTTCTTGACATCCTTGGGTGTGCTCATTAGGAAAGGCTAACCCTCCAAATGCCTGGAATGACCTAAACCCAGGCGGTACACCCTCTGGCTGCCCTTTTCACCTACCAAGACTTTTATTTACCTCCCTCTTCTCCTAATTTTTAAAATATTTCTTATGTTTTCCTGTTTTCTGCTTTTAACCTCAAAACTTCTAACACTCTTTTCTAAGTCCTGTCTATTGTCCCCTGCCGGATCATTCCTATTAAGTCCTTTTTTTACAACGTGATGACCAAAACCCTAATGTGGCATTCCTGGAAGGAAAGCCCCAGCCAGGAATGTCACAGCTCCAGAGCCTTTTCAGAATTCTCCATCCTCTAATTAGGATGGCCACACATCTCAGCTGCTGCTTTTGACTGCTGCTGTGAGCTGAATGTTGATGCCCATCTTTGTGCTTAGATAATTTCCCTGAGCAGCTAAAACTAATAATCAGTGGTATTTTCAATAGGGCCTTTCCATTTAGTGTGGCTGAGTTATTTTGCACTTCATTTTTTTTTTTAGGTTGAATTTAATTCCTTGTCATGTTTCCTAATTAAGAAGATTTGTGAGATTCATTTTGATTTTTTGAAAAATTCCTTCCCAGGAATGCTTATCTTCGCTTCAGTCAGTGTTTCATCTGCTTATTCTACCTCCTAATTCCTGCTGGGGTTGTTAACGTGTCAGACTTCAACAGCAGGGTTGGTTCTGGGGCCGCCTCATTGTTGGCTCTTTTTCAGACGGAGGCTGGGTCTTTATATTCAAGGCTGATGGGCACAAATGCAGCTTTCTCTCCACTACTCCTTCACCCTCTTTTGGCCCCTAGTCTCTCTTTTTGCGCCTTCTTGCAGGTTCCTGTTTCTTCTTTCTGTCTAACACAGCCTGTCTCTCATATCCATTCCTAGTGCTCCCCAAACGCTGGCTGCAACTGTGATCTCCTAAAACAAAAACAGTTATGATCATAACATTAAAATAATAGTTAATATTGTATCTTGTGTCTCACCACTTCTTTTCTTTTGTTTTCTTCTATCGTCTTAGGGGGTGACTGATCCCCCTCTCCCCTAAGTTCAACTTGCCCTGCTTTTCATTCGTCAACCTGTTTTCTCCATTAGTTTATTTTCATGTTTGCCAATGAGATGTCCCCTCTGCTCTTTTTCTTCTCCTCTCTCCTTTCCCCTAAGGCATTTTCTCCTAACCCTCTTGACATTGGAAGATCTATAAAATACTTAGAATCATTCAAGAATCCCTCTGCTGGGTTTACCATGGCTTAAGATATCTCCACTCAGAACACACAGAGCAAATGTGAAAGATAAAGCCAAATGTCTGACCTTCCTGAGAAAACCAGTGACCATGGTCAGTATACATAGTTTCCACTACTGTGGCATCCTGCCTGGAACAATGATGCAGAGGGAAATGTTCCTGTGCTAGGCACTATGTAACAGGGGGAATGGCAGGCATGACACACAGAAAGTAATCTTCTGAAAGACTGTGAGAGGTTGGGCTCAAACGATGAGGCCATCCTTGAGAAAGCTGTGGGAGAGTGTGGGCCAAGTCATTTTCTATGAGGATATTTGGCAAAGTCCTAGATCCATTACATTTCCTCAGCCAAATGGGGTGGATCCATCACTGGTTGCAAACTAAGATACCTAAAATGGACCAGGCAGGTAATGAGACAGAAAACCCATTTCTAGTGTAAAATGGTCAGAGTGGCTCCATCCAGCTGTTGGCACAGGGGAATACAGTTCCAAGGTGAAACTGGAGTTGCATATAGTGAAGGGTGAAATTTCCCAGTTTTAAAATCGTAGCCATTTTTTTAATCAAAAATTTAAATATTCTCTGTGCATTCATTAAATCTCACCAATTTGTGACCCTAGTACTAAGTAATCATTTGCACAATTCTTTCCCATAATTAACTCTTAAACTCATTAGTTCTAAATCAGTAATAATAAGAAAAAATTAACACTAAAATTTGTACAGCTGTTTTTAGTTCCCTTCATGTTACTTTGGTATATAGCAGTATATTTTAAAGGTTTATCCACCTAATATATATTAATATTCATTGCATTCTCTCTATCCCATTCTCCTATCACTAGCCAGACAACACCAATATCAAGTCTTCAAGGAAATGAAATATAACAGAGAGAGAGAGAGAGAGAGAGAGAGAGAGAGAGAGAAACACAGAGTTGAAGAAAAGATTGAGGACCTGGTTCTAATCTTCCTAGACTTACTTTATAAAAATCCACTGCACTTTTAAGAAAAAGCTAATTTCTAAATTAATTAAACTGCTGCTATTTACTAGCATTATTCTGATGCCAAAACTTGTTAAAGATAATCACAAAAATGACAGTAGTGATGGAAGATTTTCATTCATTTTAAGTAATTTTTTTCAGTGTTAGGGATTGAATCCCTCATGTGTATGCTTAGTACATGCTCTGCCACTAAACTACACCCCTCAAACCAATTACAAGTACAATTTAATCCTAAATAAGAAAGGAACAAACTGAATCAAGCATGATATTCAAGATATAATTTAACAAAACAGAGGATGAAATGTAAGGATGTAATGGAATGTAAGGATGGTCTGAACATTAGATATATTAGTGTAATTCATTATATTTACTTAGAGTAAAAATAGGAATATAATAATAGTCTAAGAGACAGTTGATAACAATTAATATCCTTTTCCAATTAGAATCTTAGAGTAAACTAGTAATAGAAAGAATTTTTTAAAAGATAATAATGTATTTAAAGAATATATATCATCATCTAGGAGCACAAACTTGTTCTATTGCATTACAACTGAGTGCCAATTATCTAGTTCTACATTATTCAAAAATTTCCTGGTATTTTGGAGAGTGCAATAAGGAAAAAGAAAACTAAATTACTTGCTGGTGATATAATTATCTATATACATTTAAGAGAAAAGCTTATAAACTATTGGAATTAATTAGGTATTTTCACAGTTGAAAATGATAATTACACAAAACTCAATGGTTTTTCTAAATTGCAGCAGCGAAAAATATCTCATTCACAAAAACTGTAAAATATTTACAAACAAATTTCACAATAATTGTGCAAACTTACATGAAAGATATTTTAAAAATACATTTAATGATATAAAAGACCTAGGGTTGAGGTATATACAGCTCAATGGTAGAGCATGTGCTTGGACGTTTGGGACTCTAGGTTCAATTCCAAGCACTGAAACAAACAAAGAAACAAACAAACAAAACACCACCTAATATGTTTAGTGATGTGTTCCTGAATGAGAAGACTCATGATTTTGAAAACTCTAAAAAAAAAAAAAAAAGGTCAGGAAAGGAGTTCTTTATGAAAGAACAAATATATTGCTAAGCTATAACAGGCATGGCATAGGAAAAAGCATATATTTAATAGAATAAATAATAAAAATGTTTAAACATGTATGTATATATATACATATATATGCAAATTTTACTTGTGATTAAGAATGGCTCTCCTAGCTGGGTATGGTGGTGCATGCCTGTAATACCAGCAGCTCTGGAGGCTGAGTCAGGAGGATCAAAAATTCAAAGCCAGCCTCGGCACCAGGGAGGCAGTTAGCAAATCAGTGAAACACTGTCTCTAAATAAAATACAAAAATAGGGCTGGGGATGTGGCTCAGTGATTGAGTGCCTGAGTTCAATCCCCAGTACCAAAAAAAAAAAAAAAAAGAATGTCTCTTCTAAGTAGTGGGAAAGGAATGAATTTTTGACACAACTGATTAACCACTGGCAAAATTTCTGTAATCTTTTATTGAACAATTTCATTTCTGAGAATTAATTCTAAGGAGGTTAATGGACAAATGTGAAAAAATGCCTGAATGTTTATTGCAGCATATTTTTAAGAGTAAAAAACTGAAAACCACTTAAATATCTATCCACAGTAGATTATTATAAATATGTGGGTACATACCAACTATGGAATGCCATCAGTCTACTTGGAATGGAGGATATCATTAAAAAAATCACTAAATTATGTTAGGTACATGTACTGATATGTAACAATGAAGCCCAATATTATATACAATTATAGTGCACCAAAAACTGATATTTAAAAAAAGGAAAATCAGTCCTTAAATCTATAGGTATTCTTTGATCACTTGAAATATGTATGTGAAAGTATAAACATGTCCAGAAGAATATATAACAAGCTGTTATTTTCATTTTCTATAGGTAAATATTACTTCTTTGCCTTTTCTCTTAGCTCTCTTTACCCAGTAACTAAAGTAGGAGTACATATTGTGCTCATAACTTCAACTTCCTGCAGGAGCTTTGAGACATTCTACCCTAGATAAGAATTACTCTCATAGAACCCTATACTTGCTATACTACTTATGAGCCATATTGTACATTTTTGCTGCTTCTCTAGATTCCAAAATCCATGAAGGCAGTGACTGTGTATTGATCAGTGTCATTTGAGAACCTAGTAATGTCTATTAACTGTCACTTTTTAAACTTTAGTATATGCCAAACAGTGTGCTATCTATACTCATCTTCCAAATAGCCCCCGGTCAAGCTGTGATCAATTTTCAAGCCTGTGTGATTCCTGGCCACTACACTCACTAAAAGGTGCTCAATAAATATCAGTTTTACAGGAAAGAAACACAACCAGCCACAGCTCGGTGGAGGTGTAGCAGTGGAGATCTAGCGCTGGAGGACGATGGTTGGACTAGAAGTCTTTTAAACTCCTTCACAGGCCAGGTATTCCCAAGCCCCGCCCACGAAGACCCGCCCGTGGAAGCCCGGAAGGGAGCGACGGGGGCAGGGCTAGCTTCCGGGAGTGGGGCGGGGCCATCGCTGATTGGCTGGTTTCGGGCGGAAGTCGGGATGTTAGGTGGTCTGAAGACGCTAGCTTGTGACAGGGAGGGGGAGAAGGAAGGCCTGCGTAAACTGTGCTTCTCGGTCCCTACGCTCCCGGGGACCCTTGGAAAACTCACAACACCCCGGCTCCCGCAGCTAGCTCCTTCCCCCAGGCTCTCTCCGCTCGATTTCGCCACCGTTATGTGGGAAGCGAATCCAGTGAGTAGCCGGGCGGGACGGGGCGGACCCAGTGGGCGGGGTTGATGGGAGAGGGGCGGGAGGGGGTTCCCGGGAACTGCCCCCCTCACCCCAGTCAGGCTGGGTGTTTGAGTTCCGATGGCGCCAATGTCCCAGACTTTGTGGAGGGGCTTTTGCCATCTTCAGTCCCTGCCTTTTTTAGTGGTAGAGATAGCTCCGTGGGTTCTTCAACGCGTTTTTTGCTTTCTTTTTCGAGTTATTTATTTTACTTTCGTTGGTTTCTCCACCTTCCTTCCTTCACGGGTCTTTACTTTTTGAAACTTTGTATTTTGCTTTCTAATTGGAATTGCTGGTCGTGGAACCTGTTCTCCCTTTTCCTCAGGAGTACCTTTCAGCCCCACCCCACTAAAGCGAGGGAATTCAACCCCTATGGTTTGAACAGACCCAGGGAGAACAATCAGTACCCCTTTTCCCTTCTTGGTGGAAACCATTTAACACTCGAGGATCAACTGTTTTTTTCCTAAACTACTGGATGGTGAAGTTTTTAGATGTTTTCTTTCAATGGTTAGACCGATGATCTGGAACGTTTTCAACTGCAATTCTGTCTCCTTCCTTGTTTGACTCGGATATTTGCATTATTCCTGCATGTGTTTTGTCTACTTTGTTTTTATCCATTTATTTTTTTAAGGTGCAGCCCTCAAGCAATGGGATCTGTTTGCCAAGAGTATTCCGTTCTTCTCTTGTTACCGTTGAAACCACCTAGTATTATGGCACCTATACACTTTACAACTTAGGAGTTGACAGGGAAAATAACAGAATCATATTTCAAGTTTCTGGACTCAATATGTGAAACTAAGCCATATGCTGAGATAACTGCCAAAATTTACTCTAAAACCCCTCAATATCGATACTTGAATTTTACTACAAATAGTACTCCTCTCTTCTTATTTCTGGAATGTATTTCCAGAGAAGTTAGCTTATCAATACATTCCTTTATGTTTTCATCCAGTAGAAACTAGTGTTTTGGTCAGGATTTGATAGTTGCCTGTTGTGGTTCCATCCCAATCCATCATATAAAAGTAGTCTTCATTGAAGTTTATTTTTTGATTCATACATATAATATTGTAATCAGGTCATATTAAAGGAAAATAATTGCTTGTATTTGACTTTAATAAAAATAATTTGGAATTATGAGAATATGTTCATATATACTTATATTCAGTTTCACCATTATCAATAATCTTCATTTTATATGTTATCTGGACATTTCTATATATGTGTGTGTATATTATAGATGTATTCGGTTTTTATGAGCAGTCTGTTTTGATTCTTCATAACAACAACTTTAGTCATCTTTATATTTGTCTTGCTCAAGGTTACATGTTCTAAATTCTTCACTGTATTGTAAGCTCCAGAGCAGCATGAATTTTTTTTATGCTTACTATAGTATCTTCATCTAGAGAATAGATGCTGGTGCTTAATAAATATTTGTGAATTCATAATAGTGATTGGATCAGTACTGTACTAGGATTCTTTGCTTTTTATGTTCATTTTCTTCCTGTATCACACATACATCAGAATTTACAGATCATTTGTTTGTGAGAATTATAAATGCATTTGTGAATGTTTCACATTTGGTTTGTAAAATTATGATCCTGTTTCTTTGTAAGAAATGTTCAGTTTTCTCTGAAATTACTTTGATGATTTTTTAAAAAAAAATTTCAGCAGAACAGGCTGACTTTTGTTTAATAGTAATGAACCTTCCATATTTTCTTCTTTTGAACTTTATGGCACCCTCATATAGCTTAATGCTTCTGTTTTTTATTACTTACCAATAATGTTTTTTGTGTGAGCATAGGAACACTGTGAACAAATGAAGTTTACTTTTATTAGCTTACATTTTTTTTAAAGATAAATATTCTACTGGGCTTTCTCTAGTAATTTGTTAATTTCTTTTAGTAGAAGGGGTTTCTGGATAGTCTAAATGTGTTCATGGAATAAAAAATCCTAAGTCATATACAACTGGGAAGATTTCAAAATGCCACTAAACAAAAACCATAGTGGATAAATGCAGATGACTTTTGCATTACAAGTCAATGTTAAGTCACTGTTTATCATTCTTTCCATTGAATGAAATAAATGCTGTTTTGTGAAGGAAGGCTATTGTTAACTGCTTTAATTGAAGAATTTTATTTAGTTTATTTCTGTATATTCTGGTAGCATCCATGACCTTAATATACCACCTATGGCCTGCAAATATACCTCCTGTTGCTCCTATTGCAAATATACTTACTTTGTGATATTGCATTCCACTCACAAGTATTCTGATAAAATATTACACTGACCCTGGCCTTGTTCCTAATCAGAATCAGCCTCCCCTTCCCTGTGAAAAGTTTTCAGGAAATGGTTTGAGTGTGGAAAATCACCACTGACCTTTCAACATTTCCTTTGGCATGGTGGAGACCTAAAACAAGGGAACCAAGGAATAAAATAAATTTTATACCTGTCTTCAAATATAAAATTGTGAACTCAGATAATATTTGAAAACAAATATAAGGTCTTTGATGATGCCTTTCACTGACCAGGAACTGTGGGGTAAGCATAAAGTTCTTGCCAAGGTAGGTCAGATTGACAGAAGCAGGAGGCAGTTCTCATATGTGCTCTTGGCATTTCTCTACCCACCTAGGGGAGGGAGCCCATGACTAACATCTCCCAGTTTAGGAAAGTGGTGTAGTCTGTGGGATGAAGTTGGAGGGGTTGCCATCACAGTTTTGACTTTATGTACCCTGATTTTATCCTGCTTCTCACTTTCTCTTTTCTTCCTTGTCTTCTGTCTCTTTGCTGGGATTGGAATAAGTAGTTCCCTGGAATTAAACTAGATAGAAGTTAATTTTAGCTTTTTGTTATTACACTGATGAAGAGAATTATGAACTTACAAACATTTGTTCATGAGTATAAACTGTCAATTTCAAAAATAGTATCTTACTTCATAGAAAGTACTCTTCCAAAATTGTTTTTCATTTATTAACTCATTATTGGAATAATTTGATATGTTAGTTAAGAGAGAAGAAAATGGTTTTCCCAAGATCATGGAGCAAGTAAGCAGTGTGTCAATACCCAAGTCATCTTTACACTGCATTCTGACTCTGCTGGTAACAATGATAACATTTGTTTATAGTGTGATGCTTTTTCTGCAGAGCCAACATCTTCCCTGTTATTTTACATTCATGGCTGTTTCTCACCTACCATTCAATATCTTCTTTTTCTGTTAAACTGCTTGAAAAAATAATCTTACGCTTTTGTCATTCTTACCCATACCTCAGCTCTTTCAGTCTAACTTCTTCCCCTAATACTTGTCAAAAGGTCACCAAGAACTTTGAATCACCACATAAAACAGCAACTTACTTTTATCTTTTAGCAACTTTGATGCAATCACAGGTTTTCCTCAAAACTTTTCCTTTTTGGTGTCCTTGGAATTGTACTCCTTTGGGTTTCTTCTTTTTATGATTTGTCCTTGAATTATAATCCCCCCATGGCTGCATGGCTTTCTGCCCCCGAAATGTCCTACCTTTTATCTTATTTTTTTTTCAGCATATCATTTTTTGGTGAGCTTCAAGGCTTGAAAATATTACTATAATAAATATTCCTGCCAGGTGTTCATCTTTAGTCCTAAGTTCGTCTGAGCAAGGTGGTGGACAACTCTATTGGATGTCCTCTAATAGTACAAACTTAGGATGTATGAACCAAAATGACTCAGACATTAATTCATTTATTCATTTCACTCAGCAAATAATGTAAGTATCTAACACATGAGAAAGAAACACTATTTTAGATATTAGGGATGGGGGATATAAACATGGATCAAATCAGAACCTACTCCTGAGGGGGCTTGCAGTATAGTTTTGGGAGAGAAAGTGATATCTGAGTACTTCAAGCGTTCATTGAAATGATTTATATTTAAACTAGCTCTTTAAATTATAGAAATGGTCTTATGGGAATATCAAAGGAAGCAAAATAACCAAAGCCTATGAAAGTAAAAGAGAATGGCAAGTACAGTTTGAATAAAGGAATGAAGTGGAGAAAGTACAGATCTCATGATTAATTTCTCAGTATGGGCATTATTAGAGAATGAAGATGGAAAGGTATGGGCAGTGGTAACTAACATGGAATTTTTCTTTTGAGTCTGGCAGTATATTATACAGAGATACTCACAGACTGAGTTGAGAACGGAGGTAGGATGTGTTCCTGGAAATAACAGTTCTTTAGGAAACATAGTATCTATGAAGATGTGTTCCTGACAGTGTAATTTATTACAGGACCAATCAACAATTCCTTTAATCATATCTTTCTTTTCTTGAAATTCTTTGTAACTGTTCTAACAGTGATTAGCTAAGCTTAAAGTATGACCTATATCTATCTGAGGCTCAAAACAAATTATTTTCTGGGAAATAGAAATCCTTTACCTGGGAGATAAGATGTTAATGACAAAGTAGCCACACAAGAGTGGACTTTTTGGGGTCTGGGGCAGTGCTAAGTAAGGTATGTCTTTACCTGAATCATCTAATACTTCTATTTTGAGGAAATTATTAAATTATTTTTTAGTGATGATACCAAGGTTCAAAGTTTGGTGAACTTTATGAATTTAAGGGATCCAGGTTTTAAACATAGAACTTTCCAGTTGTAGCATACATACTTCCTAGTCTAACAAAGGATATAAGATATGTGGTGAGTAGAAAAGGATCTTTGAGGATAATCACAGGGAGTCAGGGATTAAAAGAAAATTCTTAAACTTCAAGAAATACTTGGTTTTTGGCACAGGCAACCAGAAACTGAGATGTATTTTCACTGATATGAGAAAATTTAGAAAGGGGGAAGATGGGAGGATATCAAGAATTTGGTTTTGGGCCCATTAGGTTCAGTGTGCTCATATGATTTGGATATGGTCTAATTGTATCCACCAAAGGCACATGTGTTAAAGGCTTGGTCCCCAGGATGGCACTGTTGGGTCATTTAAGAGATGG